GGTTTTGCTGTGAGTTTAGTGGGATTGGTAAGGAGTCTATTACACTATGAGCTGCTCCCTCGCTATGTATGGGCAAACAATTACTGTCAGTAATTCGACCATCTAAAGGAAACAAACGTTCACAAGCGCCCAACTTTGGCCAACAGAAGGGGAATTGTGATTCATCAGTTCACAACGCCCGACTACACACAACGATAGTGGCTCGACAAAAGGCCCAGAAGCTTGGTTGGGTGGTTCTTAAGCATCCAACTTATGGTTCGGACTTCGTACCAAGTGATTACCATCTGGTTCTACCTATAACGAATGATTTGACTAGTGAAGAATAGACCCTAAGAGAAGACATGCGAAAACGAAAGGTTTCTATGAGAAAGGCATAATGACATTACCATCAAAAGGGTAAGAAATTATGGAGCGAAAGGGTGTGTATTTGACCTAAATCGAATATTTCTATTATTGGTAAATAAAGCCTTCAAATGTACCGATTATATACGACTATAAACCGAATGCATGAAAGCAGTCTAGCTTTGAAAGTATTCGTTGCAGTACCCGATGGTGAAAGCAGAGGAAAACACTGTTTCAAGGATCAGGTGGAGCGCGACCTCGCTTCATCAACTGCAGCGTAGAGTAGGAACAAATGGTACGCATTCTTGAATCGCATGCGGCCTCTCTATGACAATAAAAAAAGAAGAAGAAGAAAAGAAGAAGGGAAATAATGCGTGTCGAGCTAGAACTCGTATGGAGTAATACGCTTATCGGTTGGCAGCTGTAACAATCACTTTGCTTATCACAGAAAATGCAATTTCCTATTTTATGTGATTTAGTATTTCATTTCATTTTCTTTGTAATACGAGTAAATATATGTATGTACATCGATATATATTTTTATCCACTCACACACTTTAAATACAATTACGTTCGTAAGAAACAATTTCATTCTCTCTCTCTCTCTCTCTCTCTGCAAATTACTCTCCTCGCCTTGCTGACGGCTGAAAACTTTGCCCAACAGCCGATAGTCGTTCACTTAACTGTCAGCGCTAACCATCTTTCTTGATCGACTTTCTGTTCATCAAAATCAATAAGCATATTTAATGTTAGTATCACCGCTCGCCTGCTGTCTTCTCCGAAACCCACGGTCTTCCCAGTTTACCGTGGCAAAGCCTCATCTCGAATGCAACTGATAGATTATGAGATACAAACGCAGTACATTTTCAAACCACATAATTTTATATGAATACATGTATGTATGTGTGTAGATATATGTATGCACTTTTGTGCACATTCCGTAGATTGCTATGCCTATAATCCTCGGTTGGTATCGAATGTCCATTGATGGCGGCGTCTGGTTGCAAGCTTAAAACTGTTATGCCACAGCTGCTTCCGATTTTACTTAACTTTAGTAGCAGTTAACATTGTTGTTGCTGTTGTTTTTGCCATTTTTATGGGTTTTTGTTGTGGTGCAGCTCTTGTTGTATCATTAAATTTTAATGGCACCCATAAGTGGTCGCTATGCGATCGACAAACAGTGCCTTAGCGTCGGATGTAGGTATGTACATATACAATACAAATGTACGAGTACAATACAAATGTATGTACATATGTGTGTGTGTGTATGTGTAAGTGATTTGAAACGATTTTAATCCATTACCACAAATGCAAGAAAATTGAGTCGCTCACGTCGTTTAGAGAAGAAAGTCTCCGCTATAGACACATGTCTGGAATTTAACATAAGTTTAATATAAGTTATGAATTAAAATGCCAATGTTTCGATATAAAATGGTTTTCCAATAAGAAGTGTTATTTCGAATAGCCTGCTGTCCCTTCTAAAGCTATAATCTTTTGACATTTGACAAGTAAAAACTACGCCAGTAATAAAAATGGAGCGATAGACGCTTCAACAAAGCATCGAAATTATTAAAATTCGCTTTAAAAATGGTGTAAACTTGGCAGAGACAGTTCTTAAACTAAAAAATTCTCCAGTCGTCGTGAAGCACCTTGCACCTGCATTGCCTATCTCACGTCGTTCCCAATTTCATTTGGGCTTTCCACACACTTCATTACAAAGTATTTTACTTAAAGACTTGAGTCTTAAGGTTTATTAAGTTCAGTTAATACAACAACTGAAGTCGGCAGATACTGAACAACGTCGTGTCTATGCTGATTGGGTCCTTGAAATGTAGGAAAACTCTCCAGAATCATCAAAAAGTCATCTAAACTGATGAGGCTGATTTCCACCTCAATGACTACGTCAATATGCAAAACTGTCCCGTCCTCAACGTGTACTTATTTGGTGGGGTTTATGTTCCGGCGAAGTTATTGAACCTTATTTTAACGAAAATGAGGCGGGAGCAACAGTTACCATGAATGAATTGCACTATCAAGAGATGATTAATGATTTTTTATGGTCTGAACTAGGCGGCGCAACGTGCCATATAGGAAACAAAACTATCGATTGAGGGAAAAGTTTCCGGAACGTGTTATTCCTCGAGAGTTGATATTGGATGAGTGCATAAGTTCGTGCCCGATTCCGCTGGACGCCGTTCGAATCGTTTGAGAGTGGCGCTCGTAAAAGAAATATATACATATTATATATCGTTGGAAAGGTGACAGTCCGAACTGTAAATCAAGCATAAAATAACTTCATTTTGATTTGAGTAGCTAAGTGAAAAGACGCATGGAAGATGGACAACGAAAAAGACCATATGCGTCATATTATGTTATACGAATTCCGCAAAGGAAAAACAATAGGCGCTGCAACTAAAGATCTTCGCTGCAACTAAAGATATTCGCACTCCGCACAGTAAAGAAATGGTTCGCGAAATTTCGTTCTGGAGATTTTAACCTCGAAGATCAACCTCGCAGTGGACGGCCTTCTGAGCTTGACGACGATGTTTTAAGGACTTTATTTGCGAATAACTCACGTATTTTGACGGAAGAGGCTGCCAGTGAATTGAACGTCAACAAATCAACTGTGTTTCGTCGTACACTTTGAAGCTCGATACATGGGTGCCACATCAGTTGAGTGAAAAAAACAAAGTGGACCGTATGTCAACAGCATTTGGTGGGATATCCGAGGCGTGATCTATTTTGAGCTCTTGCCAGCTGGAGAAACGATCACTGCCAACAAGTATTGTCAGCAATTGGTCGAATTGAAGAAAGCAACCAACGAAAAACGTCCGATTTTGGCCAATCGCAAAGGAGTTCTTTTCCATCAAGACAACGCCAGGCCACATGTTTCAAAACCGATCCTGGCCAAACTGAAGGAGATAAATTGGGAATTCATGCCGCATCTCCCATATTCACCCGACATTGCACCTTCTGATTATCATTTGTTTCGATCGCTGGAGAACAATTTGAATGGAAAAAAATTTAAAAATGTGGAAGACATCAAAAACCACCTTGACACCTTTTTCAATGAGAAACCGCGCGATTTCTATGAATCAGGCGTCCATAAATTGATTGAACGTTGGGAGTGGATTGCCGAACATGATGGCGAATACATAATTGATTAATAAAAGCGCTTTCTTCAAAAAAATTCAATTTTAATTTGCACTTGAAATCGGGCACGAACTTATGCACTCATCCAATAGAAATTAGCCACTGGAATCTTGTAATAGAACAGCTTGCCACTTGAAAGCGTGAAAAATGTGGTCACAGATGGAATTCGCGAAGCTATTGGAGGCATACAGCAGAAGTTTTATTTTATGTTCATATCCATATGTACAATTTCATTTTATGCTATTTTATACAAACTTTAGCTGAACGAGCTCTTTGTAATAGTATTCATACAACCGAGTATAAAATAACCTCAACAATCTAATCTCATGTTTATCTTATACATGCTTTTGAAACTGCGTAGTCATAACTATCAGTTGAAACGGATTTTTGACTACTAGATGAACATTTTACCTGGCTTCCCTGTACAATTTCGAAAAAACAGAATGCATCTTCATTTAAACTCGCAAATGGCTGATAAAACGGATATAAGTATCACCTGATAAATAAATTAAAAATATTTGCATAGAAAAAATGTTTCTAACGGATAAATATACAATGTCTATCGATATGTCTGCTTAGATGAATAACCCAAAACTTACCTACCACGTTATCGATAAACAAATAATATTAGATCTGATTCACATCACTCTACGATCAAATTTGAGTTATCAATGAGCTGACCAGAGAGGGAATAGTCATAACCCCGGTAAACTCTGCTTACCAATTGCAATGTGACGATACAAGTCTGACCAATGATCGAAGTGAACAGAAAAAAGTCTGTACTTCTTTCAAACAGGACCTCCACAAGCATAACAACAGCATGTCTGCTTACAAAAATTTTTCTCTAAAACTAATAGACCACATTTTCCCTCCTGATACTTTCTTACAAATTAATAAAGTTCTAATATACCAATCATTAAAATTCTCCACTTATTCTTCATTTAAGAGTGGAAGATTTTTTTGAATAGAAGATGGTAGCGCGAAAAGGACGAAACACGTACAATGGAATATGGAGCCGATTGCGAAGAGCTAACGAAACTACCTTTAAATTATTGTATCATGGATCAAGTTATACTTTTAATTTAATGTGTGGAGTCAATGAAGCTTTTTTTTGACGGATTCCATACGCTGACAACTACAATATTTTTTAAACTTGTACTAAAATCCTGCGCTTTGAAATGAAACAAAAAATACGTCAGCGAAAAATAGAACCGACAATTACGTGTTTCGATCTCTCAATCGTGATTCGCAATCCAAATACATGCCGAATTACTCAATAAGCCATGCATTCTCTATTACCAAGCGAAATATGGCCGAAATCGTGTACCTCTCTAATTTTTATCTGAAATTTCTAAAAATCAGCTGACAAAACAAAACAAAAACCTATAAAAGTAAACACTCTAACTTTTATTTAAAACCAAACACTATTTCTCTATTGAAAATTTAAAAATTAAAATTTATTGAAGAATTATATTCAATATTTTATTAACTTGTACTAAAAACTTTTCATTACCCTCAGTTTTCAACTGGTACCAAAAAAAAAAAACCAGCGAAACAGAGAACTGTCAAATTGCGTGCCATGTGAAGGATTTAATTCGCAATGGTAATTCGAGACAGTATAATTCACGTCGCCGTAGAAAAGCCGTTTTAGGTATTCCATGAAAAATCTATCGATATGCTGTACGGTGGAATTTATCGCTTCGATATCAGACTTTTGAAGTATAACATATTTGCGGCCATTTAACGAAAACGTTTAGGAAAGTATAATCAAGCGAGTTGAACAAAAATTGACAGGGGAGAGACAAACGGAAGTTAAGAGGGGCTATATACGATGATAAAGTCCGAAAGAAAAAGAATTACGTTCGTAACTAATTTTGTTATACAACTTTTACTAAGAAGGCTTCTTATTTACAATCGATTAGGCCGCTTATTTTAGCCGTAGATTTTAATGTCAATCATATCTTGACCACACGGGATGCACTTTACTCTAGATATATGTATGTATTTTAAAATATCTAATCGAAAAACACTAACATTTCTTACTTTTCTTGTCAGGAAACTGTGGCTTCAGTCGCACAGAAATCGAATAAGTTTTAGGCTTCTTGCAGCGAGTTCGCCAGTAGCTTAAACGTGACCAACTACAATAGAAGCTCAACCGGTTAGCTTGTTAGGCAGCATCAGATTAAGTGCATTTACCAGCCACACAAATCACTCTAGCCCGTAGTAGTCCAATGGACAGCCACTGACAATATATCAGGTGTAAATTGTCGGCTACAGAGTAATTAAGAAATTCATTTGTCTTTCAACAACTGCTACCATATGGATTTTGGGTTTTATAGTTATCTCAAACGCATAAACGTTTGTAAATATGAACCTTGGCGTACACAAGTGGCATGCAACTAACTTCCGTTTTGTCAGGCGATGCGTTTGACTACATATGTACGTAGCTTAAAGTGCTTATGATATGAATTGGACTAAGCTTTATGATCGTCTAAATTGCATTTGCATTAAGCGGCCAAGGCTTTTGTCGGTTTCCGCTGCTAAAGCTAGAGCCTTTACACAAACTCAACAGCAATTAAGGCGCACATTTAGCCGCACTCCATTTCAGGCTCACTTGAATTCGGTATTTTAACAAGAAAAACTCAGCATACTCCTCAATGAGGATATATATGTCATTAACGTCTGTGGACGCCACGCGGCAAATGCACATCGCGCCAATAAAGAAAGGAAAATGGTATGCTTTGTGAAAGCTTATTGGAAACTCTGCGGCGCACTCTTCGCCAAGACAACGCGTAAATTTCTATAGGCAATAGTTATGGTCCGCCAGCGGCTATAACGACTATGGACATCACAAACTTTGCAGTACTTGGTGCACTTCAATACAAAAAACAACCATGGAATGTGCGTTTTGACAAATGGAGGCGAGGCAGCCAACTAACCTCAAAAACAAACATTACAAAAATTTAGTAGAAAACGATATCTACATTTTTGTTGCAAATTGGAAAGCCGCGTAAAAATAAAATATTCCATGACTGCCGACTTTGCTGGTCTCAATAGTTGTTGTGGCGCCGCTGCAAATGAATAAAAATTAAATGTGGACTAAAAATTTGGCCGGACACATGAAATCAGTCCTACGGATCATGACTCATATTACTCGACTAAATTACTTTCATTTTTGAGATGAAAATACCCATCCGGTATTGGTAGAATACATGCAATGAAATCAGTGGACCATTCTTAAAGCAAATCGCAATGATATGGGCATCGAGTATTAGGTCCGGCAGTGTAAATTTTTAATACTTACACTTGCACTCCCAGCTTAAGACTTCACAGAGCTCAGTGAATTGGCTTGATCCGTCCGGAAAATCGTTCCCGACTTAAGCTCTTACAGAACTTCCCCTCTCCGTTAGTGGCTAAAACTAGCAAGCGAGCATTGAGTATGTAAGGCTCGAGTGCGGGCAAGGAAAGTTTAGTCAACTACAATATCCAAGTCTTATTGCGTTTGGATTGTACGGATTTCACAAGAGACTTCGAGTCCTCCATTGCCAATAGGTGGTTCCGTAAAAACTTTCTTTCTCAAAATGCAATCCAATGCTTGCAGGATTTCTTCCTCCTCTTACAAAACACGCATACCTTATCGCTAGAAAATTCTTGAGCTCCTAACCACGATGGTGTATCTGTAAGACGTCACATCCAGTGATTCGTTTACGCTGTGTTGTTTCAACAATCCTTCCAGACATGCCAGGGAAGCGTCTTGACTTGCGCACCTGCATTTTTAAAGCACTCATCAGAAACTCGATCTAAGGGCACTGTGGAAAGGTACTATCAGTTTTCTACAGTGACAGAAAAATAGACAGTACGATGAGGTATGTCGATCAGCAAAGGAAAGAAAACTGACTGCCTACCTAGCAACGTTGCGATCGACCAGAACACGTGCGGGGTGGGAGACGAAAAAAGAGATATAACAGGTCGAAGCGCAAGAGTCTGAAGAGTTGGACAAGTAGGTCGACAAGGATAATGCTTGAACAATCTATGAAATTATAGGGCGACTCAGAGAAAGTCTCAACACCAAAGCGGTGGCAGATCCAGAGCATACTTGGTGTATGGAGTGAACACTTGTACAGCCTTCTGAAGGACAGGAAATGTGCAACACCGGAGTATGGTGAACCTGAAATCCAATCATTACGGAACGGACATTCGGTTAACCGTTTGTGATGAGGTTGCATAGCGATTACCCGTTTAAAGAACAACGAAGCGGTTGGAGCTGATGGCTTACCGGTAAAGCTATCAAAACATGGTGGTGAAGACCTGACGAGGTGTATGCATAAACCCTCGCGTCCAGCCAATTGCCTCGTAAGTTCTTTGTCTCAATTCTGTCTGACGAATTCTACGGTCTCAGCTATTCGTTCTTTTTTAGTCGCCGGACCTGCTCTTACGCTCTAATAGAGCAAAAAATAAAAAATCATACACATCTACATACTCTTCCTTGTATTTCAAGTTGTTTAAAAAAAATTTCGTGGAATATTTTAGTGCTCATTACGGTAAACTTATTCTTAATTTTCTGCTATTAGTAGATAATTAACGATTTATAAATTATTTTCATTTTAAAAATACTGACAATTTAATTGATGTAAAAAAAGTGTTGTGAAATGTTCACCAATCATGTCATCAAAGAGCTGTGTTTCAATTCTAAAGCGTTCCAAGTTTGAAAACAACTCTGTTATGTCAAACACGTGTGTTTGTTTACGTTTGATTTCGGTTGCACGCAATTTAGGTGCGCGCATATTTTTATTTATTTTTCGTGAATTAAGCAACTAAATTGGCATGAAGTTCTCCTATAAGGTAAATTTAATATAAAATCTTTTAAAAAATAACTGTTCCTATGTGCTTTACGTATATAGTTCTCGAATTTGCTTGGAGCAATTTATCGTAGTGGAAATCTACAATTTACACCTGACGGCAATAGCATTATCAGTCCGGTCGGTAATCGTCTCTCAATTTATGATTTACGCAAGTGAGTTAATTTAAATAATTTAATTGAAATGAAAAATTAAATAATCATTCTACATTTTTAGCCACAAATCACGCACTTTATCACTCGAGTCGCGTTACAATTATGTCTGCATCGCACTTTCGCCAGATGGCAGTTTGTTAATTGCTGTAAATGAAGTAGGTGATGCACAGCTTATAAGTTTGATATCATGTTCGGTAATTCACCGCCACAAATTTCAAAATAAGCCACAATGTGTAGTGTTCAGCCCGAATGGGGCATATTTTGCTGTTGGTATGGATAATATTGTCTTGGTGTTTGCTGCGCCTGGCGAAATCACCGGTGAATACAGTCCGTTTATGTTGAAACGGCGCTTCCTAGGCGGTTTTGATAACATAACATGGCTGGACTGGTCCACTGACTCACGTTTTCTAGCTGTAGGTTGTCGTGATGGTACAACAAAAATTGTTGGCATGCGGCTTATGTCAAATTTCCGCACATATATACTATCCGGTCACACAGATGCCATCATCGGTAGCTTCTTTGAACGCAATAGCATGCATGTAAATACACTCAGTCGCAATGGTCAGCTATGCATATGGGAATGCAGTGTAGGTCCAACAGATATTGAAGAGGTGACGCCTGAACAACTTGAAGCAAAAAAATATAAAACTAAGAAGAAGAAAATCGTAAAAGAAGAAGATTCTGAGGACGATGTCGAAGATAAGGAAAAGGAAAATATAGATAATGTCGCAGATACGAAACCAAATGATGAAAACGAAGTAAAGGATGTGATGGCAAGTAAAACGCATACATTTTTCTATAAAAAACTTGGCAGACATTATCTGGGCGATGAACCACGTAAAACGGATTATCATGCAGTGGCAACAGCGGCACATTATAATAGTCGTACAAAAATTTTAGTGGTCGCCTTCAGCATTGGTGCATTTTATTTATACGAATTGCCCGATGTCAATATGATACACTCGCTGAGCATTTCCGACTATGCCATATCGGTGGCCCTATTCAATGGCACTGGTGACTGGGTGGCGCTGGCATCACGAGAGTTGGGGCAACTGCTAGTGTGGGAATGGCAAAGTGAGTCAAAAATTTGTTTTTTTTTAATTAAAGTTGAATAATATCATTGTTAATCTTTTACCAGGCGAACAATACATTATGAAGCAGCAAGGACATAGCAGTGAAATGACATGCATAAGCTACTCGGCCGATGGCCAATACATAGCGACAGGCGGCGAAGATTCGAAAGTGAAGTTATGGAATACGCAAAGTGGTTTTTGTTTTGTAACTTTTAGTGAACACACTAGTGGCATTACTGGCATACAATTTAGTCGTAATAAGAATTTCTTAGTAAGCTGTTCGTTGGATGGCACAGTGCGTGCCTTCGATATCAACAGGTAAATAAAATTAATTCGTCTTAAATATTGAGTAAAAATATTAATGCAACATGTTGTATGCATTTTCTTGTAGATACCGCAATTTCCGTACATTCAGTTCACCGGAACGTGTACAATTTTCATGTGTAGCCATTGACCACTCTAGTGAATTTATTGTTGCTGGTTGTCAGGATGTTTACGATATGTATTTGTGGTCCGTGAAATTAGGTAGACTATTGGAAGTGATAAGTGGACATGAGGGACCTGTGTGCACGGTGGCATTTTCACCAGTGGCAGCAATGACAACACTTGTTTCCGGTTCATGGGATAAAACTATTAAAGTTTGGAATTGTTTGGAGAATAATAGTGAACACGAAACAATAGATTTGTTCGCTGATGTAACATGCGTAGCGTACAGTCCAAGTGGTGAGCATGTAAGTGCCAACCAACCAAAAAAAGTCTTTAAAAATTCTTAACTTACAAATTTTTTTTATTACGTTGTAAAAAAAACAGGTCGCCGCTGCTACACTCAATGGGCACATCACCATTTTCGATGTCAAATCAGCCACACAAATATGTTCCATTGAGGGGCGTAATGACTTGGCTGGCGGTCGCTATGAAGCAGATGTGATCACAGGCAAGAAAAACCTGGAGGGCAAGTAAGTTTGCAAATCTATGGAATTATTCAAGCACAAAAATCAGATATTTATACACTATAATATTGCAGATATTTTACCTCCATTGAGTACTCCGTTGATGGCGAATGCATAATTGCAGGTGGCAATTCGCAATACATATGCATTTACCATGCACGAGAAGCTGTGCTGCTGAAGAAATTCGAAATAACACAAAACCACAGCTTGGACGGATTGGATGTGAGTAGAAACGCTGTCACCACCGATGAAGGAGTTATTAATTAAAAATTCTATTGTAGGAATATATAAATCGTCGTAATCTTACAGAATTCGGCAATTTAGCACTTGTTGAAAAACGTGACGAACTGGAGGGTGGTAATGTGGCAATCGGTTTGCCGGGTGTGCAAAAGGGTGATATGGCAAGCAGAAATATCAAGCCAAAAATTAAGGTGTTCTCAGTGCGCTTCATGCCAACGGGGCAATCGTATGCGGTGGCCTGCACAGAGGGTTTATGTTTATTCTCACTCGATAAAGGTATAATCTAAAATATCATACTCATTAAGAAGTTCTTCAATTAAGACATTACTTTAATAATCACAGGCGTGGTCTTTGATCCCTTCCATTTATCGTTGGAAGTAACGCCGAAAGCCATACGTGATTCTGTGGATAACCGTGATTTTTCACAGGCGTTGGTCATGTCACTCAAACTTAACGAGCCGCATTTAATTTATATGGTTTTAGAAAAAATACCACATGAAGACAGTTAGTATAAAATCATTTAATATTTTATTATATGCAAGAGGAATTTAAACTTTTTCATGCTTGCAGTACAACTGATTTGTTCAACTTTGCCGGAAACCTTTGCACACTCCTTGCTGCTAACCATTGCACGTGGCTTACAGACTAGTACACATTTAGAATTCTATTTGAACTGGTGTTGTAGTTTATTAGCTACACATGGCAATAAGAGCGATTTGTTACAACATCATGGGTTGCTATCGCTGCAGGAGAGTCTATCACAGAAATATGAGTCACTCAATCGAATGTAAGGACACTTAAAACACTTGAAAATAGTTCATTTGATATTCTATATTCCACATTTCAGTTGCGATTTCAATAAATACACTATGCGAGTAATACTAAACGCGGCCAAGGAACGTAGGAAGCAACGTGATACAGTCGCTGAGAATCAACCAAAATCACAAGTTGCGGGCAGTGATGTTAATGACGATGATGGAGATGATGATGATATGTTTTTAATTAAATCAAAAAGTGACGATGCTGTAGCGGAATTTGATGATGAGGAAGAGAGTGATAGTGATGAGTGACAAAGTTAGCAGTTAGTGTACAAAGTTCGATAAAATATGTTAAATAATGACCTCCCTAAGACTAGAATTAAATACATTTTTATTGGCGAATAAAAGTGCTTTATTTTAAAAAATAATTTAATTGTGTTTTAATGTAATTTTTCGTTACACAGAAATAAAATTTCTATAGACGCCAGAAGTTATGAATAGTGACAACAGCATTTGAAACTTCGCGCTTTTGTGTACCTCCTTCGGCATATTTTAAATCTTCGATTTTTATGGGCTGTTCCAACAGATATTTACTCGATTACCTCAGTTTTTTAAAAAGGATCCAGATTGCAATAGTTTTTGTAAAATACAAATCTCTGCCTTAGCAATTGTTTTCATCTCATTCCGTTAAATAAGAAGATACTGTAACATATTTTTGGCTAGTATGAGATGACTTTTTGTTTATTCTAGAAAAGTTAATGCAGTTTATTCACTTTCGCACATTACAAATAAAGAAAAAAGCAAAAATTAGCAGTCGGCTCTTGCAGTAACTGAATATTGAACAGCTGTTGTTTACAAAGTTGTATCTATCAACTTAAAATGAATTGCTTATATAAAAAAATTAAAACTAGCTAAAATATTATTAAATTTTAATGAAAAATTGCTCCAAATAAAGACCTTGTAGTTATTGAAGCAGCTATGTTAAGGGCATATTTCGGAAAGCCACCGAAAATATTATTAATTTCTATAATCCTTCTTCTGTGAAAAAGTAAAATAAATAAGCAGTTTTTATTGTATTTACTTTTTCCAACTAAATTAAATAAAAAAAAATCAAATATTTGCGTAAATACCTTTTAATGTACACTGAATATGTTTATTATTTTCTATTCGAAACTGTGAATACCCATAATGGAGTTATTTCCTGAAGGTAGCTCAGCGAATGCAGCCCTGTTTAGGCACAGTTATTAAGCGCCATTTAAATGACAAAATGGAAAAAATTTTGAAGTTAATCGGGAAAAATATTAAATTATGTCAATATTGGCTTATTTAAGTATGAAGGATGTTGCGTATATGCATATGTAGATAATACTCGTAGTTAAATATGAATACTACTGTGAATACTAAAGTGTTTTCAATAGCCAAAGACATAAAGTGGAAATGCGTTAATAAAGGAAATGGAAGCGCATACAGGAAATGAAAATGATATTGCCTGTCTGCATCTTATTTTTTTTTTGCATATACATACACATACTTTACTAATTTGATATTGGATATGCATTTAAGGTAAGATATTAGCCAGGAATAAATTGGCTTTTGCTTTACTTACCCATTCTTAAATGAAACTCCTGAATATTCAATAAAATAATTACTTTTTATTCTAAAAATATACTAATAGCCAAGAAAAATAACTACATACATATATACTATGTACATCTTCGTACATACATTTTCGCTGATTTTTTTTTGCAATAATTCGACGCAGCCGAAATAAGAATAATATTTTATTTAAAAAAATACCAATATCGTTCATATCGTTCTTGAGCGCATATAATTTCATAGTCTGTGTATTTTCACTATATAAAAAGTAGTAGTAGCAAAATAGTGTGTGCGTTTGTAATTGTTGCGTAATTTGTTATGGACTATCAATAGTTGCATTCATTTTACATACATACTTATTCATATGAATAGTGTATTATTATTATCCGTATAAAAAAAGCACCAATTATTAAACAAACAAAAAATCAATAATTCGAAATTTTTTTACCATTTCGTTATAATCTTGCAGACATACAGCATTTAAATATGCACATATGTATATATGTACATATATTTAACTACTATTTAGTTGTGTATAAGCAAAAGTGTGTACAAATTTCATAAAGGTGCCCATAATTCCTACTGCGCGTAAAAATACCAATTAGAGTTATGAATGCATGTTTAAAAAAATGTCTCATGATATAAACATAAAAGAAATAATTTAATATTAAATTAATTTATTTTTACCAATTTTTCTATTCCGCTTTCCAACACAAGTTAATTAAAAAAAACTGTAAGAGCTGCCAACATGGCGAAATAACTATAACAGCATTTTCCTTCTACTTTCACTGACTAAACTATTGAGAAGACAACTTAAGTTGACAAATTGCATTTCTTTTATTGTGCTATTTTGGCTTTCTTGCAGCTTTTTGAAATATTTCAAGGCACACGATATATGAGGCATGCTCCATTGAGACATGTGCAAATAATTGTATATGTATGTAAATACCTTTTAAAATTCTGATTTTGCATTCTGCTCATACATTCACGTATATCTATATTCATTATTTAAGGCCAAGTAATTTTTCAAAATTTACCTGCAAAATATATTCCAATAACCTTTAACCTCTATTTTGATTTTATACAAGAGTGTGTACAATTTATTATTTCTGCGTACATATTACTTTCCTATATACTTACAAAGAAAGAAAATCGCTGCACAAAATTTACATTTTCTTATCAATATATGTACATATTTAATTTATCCAAAATTTATGCACTAAAAGCGCTAATCTCGCTCTAACATACGCTTATGTGATCAATTTGAAATTTCTTTAAATTTAGCTAGAAATTATTCTTATTGATAGCCTTGATACTAACTATTATGCGTTTGCGAGCATCTAATTACAATACATAAAACAACAATATGTATGTAAGTAAGTAAATATTTTAATCGCATATGTATGTAATCGCATTCAGCACATGCCCATATACATACGTAGTAAATACGTAACTACTTCAACGGAGCCCAGAATTTTGTATCCTGGAACTCCTTAAATCCTAGGATGATTTCATCAATAATATGGGCCAGTAGAGTAATACGAAGACGAAAAATAATATCGGAAATACGGCACGAGATACTTTATCAATTTCTCGCCACATTATCTTCTCAACACCCGTGTCGGTGTCTGTCCAGGCTACCGATAACAAGCTTTGCCTACGTGCTGGCTTTGGTGGGCCGCCGTTGCCTTGCAGCGAAGTCTATAGAATAAGATTTTACTAAAAATTTGAAAAAAAAATTTTACTTCTTGAAGAATTTACCTGCCCTGGCGTTGTTGGTGTTTGCGTTGATTTTCGTGAGCGCACTGCTCCTCCCTCCCAACTAGCCACCGTTGGGCATTGACCTTTTTCCATGTTGCTTATACGCTAAAATCGTAGAAATAAAATTAACTTCATTTATGTAATACATGAAAAATTAAAATCAGAAAAAGGTACAGTTGGGTAGTTTATCTTCATTATAAGCCATTCAATGTAACATATGTAAATGCAACAATGTGTAAATAATAATATTAGTCTATTTTCTTTCTTTGCAGTAGATGGCATTCTCAAATATTGAAATGGATTTTTAATAATGAAATCAGAAATGGGATATAAAATCAACTGCTTGAATGCCACGTTCATTATCGTCAACATCATGACTACGCCAAAAAATGAAAAGTAAGTGAAGTTTTTCTTATTTCGCCGTATTTTACCCAAAGTTTTTTAATATTTTCAACTATTACTATGGTTAACATTCGCATTCGACGTATACCAGTGAATAGCGGCAGAAAGACTACGCAACTCAAAAATAATAATAATAATAAAAAGAGAAATTTTTTTTGAGACGTGTTTATCCCCGGGCAGGAAATGTCCTTGCATGTATTTTTGGCATGAGACCAGTTTCTGTAATCAAAACTGGAATTTTGTAGTTTTTTCTCAATATAATGCTTACCATAGGCAACACTTTTGGAATTTTATTGACTTGATATTGATATTGCACATCTAGCACCTTGACTACAACAAATTCTGCCAATGCAGCAAAAACGGATACCATGCAACCGGCCATCCAAAGGTCGAGAGCCTATGAAAATAATAAACTTTATTAGTTTCAATAGATTCTAAATAACAAGATTCATTAAAAATTCATACCTTCACATAGGCGACCGGTGGAATATCCGCTCTCAGACCGGTGAACATAGTAACTAAAGTTAACATACAAGTGACCAACAATGTCACACGACCCGGAATCGCATCAAGACCCAGCCAAAAGCTAAACCATGACAACATTACCACCAAAGATGACGGCGCAAATGTCTGTATAAGATGATGACCGATTTGTCGCTCAAATCGAAAATATACTGTTAGGCGTGAAAAATTTCCAACTTTTTCTGGCATATAACCATCACTTTCCTCCAACTCAAGCGGTTGACCAAGATTGTATTGTAGCAATTTAAGTTCAGGATTTAAAGTTACGCCCGAATCAGACCAACGTAATTTGACCTTTTTATTATTTGATGAGACTTGAAAGAAAGCGATAGAAAAATGTATTCTTAGTTAATATGTTACTGACATAGACATGCCCATATACATACGAGTAGACTCGTATATAGAATAAGTAGAGTCGTTATATGGTTTACTTACAGCTTTCTATATATATCGGGCACACCTGAATATCCATCGGATAGAGCTGGAATTCCATTTGACAGGCAATTATCGCATGCATTCGCGCCGCATAACGTACTGTCTTATTTTTATACAATGTCACCGAAGTGAATTTGTGCGTTAATGTTGCAATCTCTGAAATGGGAATATGGAAGAGAGAAAGAAAATTTTGTGCAAATAGGTTAAATCGTAAATATCGTGTTTAATCCAATTGATAGGACTTCAGCGCAGGGGTAGGTGATATGATATGGAACGCGTGATGCATTGCTCTTATTTATAAGAAAGCAACAGAGTAACAACAAATAACATATATACTAAAATGCCAATCCTAGTAAGCAGTAATATTGTTTAGTGAAGCTAAGCTGAGGTGATTGAAATGAGTTAAAAACATTAACGCATTTGTTTATTAAAAAAAAAATTGATTATGCGAAATTGAGCACTTCATTAACAAATTGGAAATAAATAACTGTAGAGAGGCAACCAGCTCATTCGATTATAACTAGAAGGAAGATGCTCAACATATGTATACGGTTCAGAGTCGGTGTAAGGCTTATTAGCCTCGGTAGTTAAACATTTTTCACATTCATTTAAAAATTCTGAAATTAAATTTAGACCAGAAATGAAGCAACTGCTGCACCGCACTCTCTTTAGATTACTTGAGATACAAAGATGAAAATAAGGCAACACTATTTCCGTTGAAATAAATTCAAGCAAAAAAATGATTCTTAGGACTGTTATAAGTTAGGTGAATTTCAGAGGCTTTAGCTTCCTTAGGCACTCATATACATACATATGTATGTAGTAATTATCATTACAGACTTTAAAATTTTAGATTCTTTAAAAATAAAGTAATATAACGTTACTACTGCCGTGCGAAAATTGTGTGCATTACCGTTCTAAAAAAGCATTATAGTCGAAAGAAGCGGAACAATTTACAAAAAGCATATAATATAAAAATTCACAATAACTATCTGTATATATCAAACGTAAGGATACAAAAAATAATCAAACAAGGCTTTAGACTTGAATTTAGATACCGTCTATTTATTTTAGGAATCTAGTATATGACTTACTATTATATTATGTACACACTATTTATGTATTCTATATATAAACTAAGAACTTATTTTGTGACTTTACTGATTCTCGAAAAGATCTGCGCCCACCCTCGTAATTTCAGAACGGACAATACGTCTGTGCTGCAATTATGTATGTTTGCTTGAAGTATTTAAGTGAATGCTTGTATGTATGTATGTAGGTGGGTGGGTGAGTGCTTGCAACTTTTATCACACAGAAAAAAAATATTTTGGAATTCCATTTCATATTTTGTATACTTAATGTTTTATTCATATGAAAGTTTTTCGTCTCTCTTTGATCCTTGTCGCGTAGTAGAGAGCCTGAAGTAATATATGGGCTTCCGAATCCTAGTACGAACCACGAAGATTATACGAAGTCGATAAAATACGAATAATAAATATTTCGAAAAATTTGATTAATAACTGAGAAAAAAAAAATTGTACAATTCATAAATAAAGGTTATTCCAATAAACGCTGTAGATTCACAAATATGCATATTTATGTACACGTACCACTCTATAGAAGCACGTACGGTAATGTGTACATAATAAAAAGTGCACTCGCATATGTATGTGTATGAAAGTATTTTCAAAGACAAATAAACAATGTTTTCAAATCCTTTAAAAATACCGAAAATAACATTGTGATCCACTGCGCATACTCGAAAACCATTCAGAAGCGGCGATTTCATGGATGATTTGGTCGCAAATCAAGGCGAGAATGACGTGAAAACGCTAATGATTACACAATTACCAATACAAATAAGTAGCAGCACAAGTGCGGTCATAAAAAACGAAATGAATTGAACTTGAAGTGAACTTAACCTGAGAACGCCCACCCACCCACATGGTACTATCACAATTGCAAACAGCACTAGCTTCTCAAACTATGGAAGCAGCAAAAGAAAAGAAAATAAACAAATAAAAAAATAAAACAATAAACACGTGCGCCCACATCACACAAACAAATTCAGCAAGCGCGCATACATAAACATAAAGTGTACATTAGGGTGGCTCCGATGACAAATCCACTCAAACTGACATATTTATAGAAATCTTCTTTATACCAAATACTGTTGTCAAATTCATTAGGGCATCAACTAATGATGAAGCTATTGTATGTTACTTAATTCCGTTATCTGCGTTATCTCCTATGAAAGAGTAATGACCTCAATTCTATTGGAATCGAACTACTGTTCTAAAAGGAACAATTTAAAAGAGTATTTTACATAAGAGTTATAATGTAATTAAATCGCTTACTATGTGTCTTATTTTATTTGTAAACAAGGACAATCATAATTTTTTCAAATACAACTTTTCCAGTTCACCCTTATGTATTTACAAGCAAATGTATATGCAAATAAATACTAACAAAACCAAAAATACATATGGAAATGAAACTGTATGGTTTTATGTCTATATAAAAGCGTGTGTCGCAAAAATAGCACACACATACATATATATAAAATATTTTAAAAGTCGATGTTTATTACAGCGTTTGTACTTACCGGCAATTTTTGAATTCAAAAAATATGGATCCGGTTGCCAGAGATTGTCAAAAAATTCTGGAAGTAGTGTTACATAATCATCACCTTCTTCGAATATATCATCGGACACCTCTAGTCTTGATTCAAGCCAACGTTGATGTATAAACATGTCTACCCTGTAATATATGCAAGTAAATTCTGCAAAAATTTCCTAAATGGCTGATTCAAACTTTTTTTGAATTTACTCTAAATATATAAATTTCTTTTCGTTTTTAATTAAAACGAAAATCTCCTATTAATGTTATACCGTTAACAGATAATGTTAAACGTTAAAAATTAAGTGTGCTTAACATTAACGATAAGTTTTTACGATTTTGCATTTCGTTTCGATAACATGGCGCCGAAACGAAACGATTTTCAATGTTTCTGGTTAGTGAAACGAAATGATATCGTTGCGTTTGTTTATGATCTGTGTTCTGGTTCATTTGCTACTTACCTAAAGTCCATATCCTCTACATTGATTGAGTTAATATCTACAACAAATATGCTAAAGTCTACTATCACTGGAGAGCCTTTCTTGGAAGGTGGTCTCATTTCTGTTGAATTACAATGATAAGAAACTCAAAAGTTTTAGTAACAATACACATAATTCTGTTAACATTTAAGTACATACCCTTGACATAATTAGGTGGAAGGACTACACGTGGTTTAGCTGTGTAGTTCATTAAGGCATCCGTTGAATCAGTCAGCCTATTAAAAAAAAAACTTAAATTTAGTGATTTAAATAACTTTGAGAAATGTATGATGTGTGGAATTTTTATAAATCAGAACTGGTTCTCACTGATAATGACAAATATAAAGTCTGTCTACAAAAGGATAACTTCAAAAGGGATTGTTTTGAGCGTTTTTAAGTCTGTTTTTTAACTTGTGGCTTAATTTTAAAGAGTTAATCTTAAAAAACAATAGCAAAGCTGTCCAAATAATTGATGGTGTCAACTAGAGTCCACCTTCGAGTTCAGGAGTATATATTTATATAAATATAATTCTCGCTTTATAAGCGCTTAAGCGATTTTCGGGGGAGCTCCACTTTGTGGCAAGGGTTTATGCGTCTTAATGATTTTCGAATAAATTGAGGGACCTACTGTTTATATTAAGCCACCTCGGAAAGTTCAATGGATTTTCACGATGAGCTCTTATATCATGACATTCCTTGCCTAGGAGCGATCCCAAATAGAAAAATTCAGGACTGATGTTAATATATAAATAATTTGAAATTTCTTTGACCAACTACATATCAATCGTATCACGGAAATAAATATTTGTCTGTTCAATATTTATGTTTCTGTTTCTCTTTTAATTCTACAGTCCGACTGTAAAATCCAACTTTGCATTAAGACACTCAGAAGTACTCCCAAGCGAATAATTCATTATTATTTTACTCAATTGAGTTCACCTACACAAAAACTGTAAATGAAACCATTTCAAAGTTATGATCATCAGTCTTAATTAAAATTTCATTAGATTAAAAAAAAATATAATATATATAAACACATTGCCACACCGTTATTCGTGGGTAATTAATACGATACAATAAAAAGTGTATAATGTATGAGGTCACTTACCAAATCCATATCAATCCCAGACTGCATGGCAATAGTAGATTCATGTATTTATCCAGCATTATGATAATCACAGTGGATAATAAAAAAATGTTTCAACTCATCTCACTTTGTATTGCTGTGAGATTGTCATAGTTTGTTTGCAAGTACACTGAAAAAACAAATTAACCGTATATCAGAGCAATTATTCTATTATTTGAGAATTATTCAGTGACGATGCATTAATTACTTTTATTATTATTATTTTTTTCAACACGAAAATTTCACAAGTTTTACGGCAGCTTTATTAATATATAATTGGATTAAAATTAAAAAATATTGATAATTTATTTTTGTTGTCTTAAAAGTTTATAAGACGAAAAATAAAATTAACGAAACAGTTCACTTTTATCTTGCGACAAGGATATTTTTTGTAAATAATATTTTACTGGTTCAAAAATCTTTTGATATTACATTTTTTGTTTTGCATTCAGGATTTTTTATGTATTTTTCATTCTCACTTCATTTACCGTCGGGCTTCGTAAACCGTTTATATTTTCTGCTGACGCTACGTCCTTTTCATAGTTCGTATTAGCGACGCAAATCGTTTTGTCAACCAGCTAGGCTTGCGATCAATTACGGAATAAATGAGATTCACTAACTTTAAGATATACGAGCAACCCGCTGAGTCGTTTACTGATCATTAAGTTGCGCTCTAGCACTGCACGATAGTATTTAATTTTGCTAACTACAATTTTGCAAATTCAAATGTGTGGATATCTACATATATATGTAAAAATATATATGTATGTATGTGTGTCTTTAGGAAAAGGTTTCAATTTCCATCAACGCCATAGTAGCTAGCACATACTTGTGAGCGTCTTCTTTTTCTCGCTAATACTGTAACGAATTAACAAGGCATGAGAAGGCTGTGGGGTTACACTAGTTAACTGGATGCTAATCTGACCAATATCCAAAGTTATTGAAAAAGTTTTCTGTAATGAAATAAAAACTAGAGAAACATCAGGACGAACACATTAAATTGAAGGAAAAACTCAGCCGCAACCCACTGTTGGTTATAAAGCGATTTTGAATACTCCGAATTCCTAAGTACGCCCACGAGACGATACACAGTTTAGAAAAGTTCAGAAACATAGATGACGTTAGTTTTATACATTAACACTGCCTCGTGATTTTCAAAAATACCGTTAAAGCAAATTATTGACTTCAAAATTGCCATTTAAAACACCGATGATGCACATCAAGACGCAAAACCACAAATTGGAGGAGGAGCTCAACCGAAAATCGCTTCAGTGGTTACAAAGCGCCAATTATATATATATATATATATATATATATATATATATATATATATATATAAATCGCGGTAGACGTCCAAAATTAAGCGATAAGAGGTAGTTCACATAGTAGAGATATTAAAAGAACGTGTTGGCTATATATTGTATGACTATGTGACCATATGCTGCGCAATAACAAAAACTTTGCACTAAATAAAATGGAATTTTCGCATCGGTATGTAAAAGTGAATGAAACATTGATCCAGCGCTTCACCCCGAGAGCAAAACAATCGTTATCTGAGTGAACAACAACTGTTGAGCCTCTTCCAAACCGGCCGGAAAACATAACTTTCGACTAGACTTGGTTTTTTGGATTCATTGACTGTTTAGAATATTAAAATAACATCTTTATTTAGCATTTTTGGGCCGTTGGGCGTATTTCAAAAAAGGCCCACCGGTGGGAAATTTTGATATCGCTAAAACTTAGACATATTTGAGACAAAAAATAAATCATTGCTCAAAATCGGTATTAAAATGTTGTTAGAGTATCGCTGGAATGACTGTGCGGCTATTGACGGAGATTATGTTGTAAAAAAAAGTTTTGATTATTTAGAAAAGTTTTAGTCCTTGTGTTCTATGATTTACTACGTTGTCCAATATTCTTTATCGGAAGCTGAAATCGATAGAAAGACAAAAGGGGCAGTATGGATTGCTAGAAAAACTCCATAAATGAGGAAATAACATACACCGAGGTAAAAATTAATAAATGATATCGACATCAGAAACAAGCAATTAATGTTGACTAGTGTTTTGACTATGTCGTGTCGCGTGCCATTTTCGTTTAAACCTATCACTGGTATTTGTTTTCTATGAATTTAGAAAAATATTTAAACAAACACATGATTGCATACATACGAGTACATGATAAACTTATGTGCAAATGTGTGAGCACATCTATGCCTTTATGTGAATATTTGAGCATTTGTATGTACGTTTGGATGTATGAATGACTAACCTTCATTTTGTCCAAAACTATGGTACAAATAAAGATACAATTTATTGTCAAAATATACTATTTTTCAAAGGTGAGGATTTCACTCCATGGGTATCACAGATTCACACCTTTTTTAATATTATTCACAAACCCTACACAGAGACTAATTTCCATTGATTTTTTATACATACATATGTATGTATATATTTGCTCTTTCTTGGAGTAGTTATTATTTCTTGTGTGTGTTTTTTTTTTGTGTGCCTATTTTGGTAGCTGATTTTTATTTAATATTGTGTATGCAATAAATAATCGGCATGTTATGTACATAAATGATTTTAGCGCCTGTCATTTCGTCGGTTGGTCATTTTAGCCATCGAGCGGTGTTATGAATAAAGTTTTTCGGTGGAAATGACGATAATAGTGCTGCCAATGGGTACCACCACGATAATTAGCGGTATTTCATTGTTATATTATTTACTTCCTGGGACAATATTGGCACGTAAATAAGACATGTAACTACTTTTGATAGACATATGCATTAGAGAGGAACAATTGTGAAGTTGCTAGTGGTCGAAATACACGAAGAAATCTTCTTTCCAATGATACCTAAAGCCATTAGAGATCGCCACTGCGTATGAGTAACACCACTTGAAGTTCTTCGTGTCATTTATTTTATTAAACTATAAAGCCATTTTTCTATTTTCTGGTGTCCATATTTGACATGTGCTCAAACCCTACTGGGTTAAGTGATCAACACTTCTACCATTATCTATTTTAGTACAAAATATTATCTTGGTAACGCATCTAGCGTAATTCAAACACACTTATAGGACGCTGTATACAGCTCACATTATACTATACCTAACATAAATAATTTATTATTTGAAATTACCTTTGAAACGTGTGATTAACTTGAATGAATATTATAATTATTACCAGATAAATGTGGAAAAAGTGCGCCAAGACGTATGAGTAACTAAACTTTAAAGCTCAATTAAAAGAATTCAAATTCCTTTTGTACCTACTTATTCTTCTTATTATTATATTCTTTAAGCAAAGCACTAAGACCACCTTAATGCCTTGAACATACTTCCTTATTCATTTATACAAAAGATAAATGCATTTATTGTCTATATAGGATTACGTAAAGTCATTATAGTAATTGAATAAAAATACTCAATTGATTTAAAAAAAAAAACCATCCGATATTGATATTGCGTATAACCGCAATTCAAAAAGTAAATATGTATGTGTATATAGCGAAGATATATGGCATGCGAATGAGCATTGACACATGAATGTGTCCGCTAATTTTCAAGTGCAATTATGTATTCGTACATTCTTCTATAAAACTTCACTGGATTTAACCGCATTTAAGTGGAATTTTCAAAAAAAAAAAAAAAAAAAATATCAAAATAAAATGTAGGGGAATAATATTTTTTTTTTTACAACAAATAAATTTATTTATTGGATCTGCTTAGTCTTCTTAATAACTAATGAGCTACAGTCTTGGTGCAGTAATAGTAGCGGACGTCAGGTAAAATGTTGCCCCTCAAAAGACTGCCAGATTCCTCGTTTGAAAGCGTGCTTCGCTAGAGGATTCGGATGATTTTACAGTTTCCACTGATATTTTTGCCATATACCTGCCATTTCTATGTTTACCATTCGTATTTCACGGTGCACTTGCGAATGAAAGCGCAGTATTTTTTGGATATTAATTGCGCAGACATGGAATGTCAAGAAATGACCAGCCCTCCGAGTGTTTTTCTGACATGAAATAAAAAAGCTCTTTATAAAAATCCATCGGCCGTTCGGTAGTGGCTTAGAGTAAACTGTAGGACCCTGCATTTGTTGGAAAACATCAAGACGCTTTTCGCAAATCGTTTCAATGATTATGAAGCACCAAATATAGTATATATATACGCTCAGGCAGAATCTCACAATTGATCGATCATAATTACATTATTATATTGGAATTGTATCGAGACATAAAATAAGCGTATCGCCTGAGAATGTTGAGGTTAGTTTTTTGACGTTCGGTGGAATGTGTGCAGTAAGTAAGACATTTGGTATTGTTCCCAAAACGCTGCATACCGGCTCCAAAAATTCAAACTAAATTTTTCTTTTGAGTTTGACATTAAAAGTAAAGTAAGAAAAATTCATAACTTGATCAAAAGTTCAACCTGCATATACGAAGGGTAGATGCATTGAGACTGCAATTACTTATCAATCCTAAATATACTCGTAAAAAGCGCAAATGCTCTCAGTGTTTTTCTAAACATAAGTGGACGACGAAGAAATCCTGAGTGGTATGGAAGCAGCCTGCAGGCAAAGTAATGGAAGACAAAATTGGCCACTTCCCATTGAAAGATGGTTTCTAGCCACATTAAGAGATGACGGTTTGCGAAGAGATCTATTACGTTTAGCTAGATATCAATTAACTCTTTAGGCGTTCATATTATTGCAGTGTAAAAAATTAAATTTCCAAAAGCGCTTGATGGTAGAAGGGAGGAAGGCGTGAGCGAGACGCTTTTGCTTCTGCCTGTCATTTAAAACTCGTCTAAGGCTTATAGTAGTGTTGTTGTTCAGATTCATAGAGAAAACTTACAGTATTGATTATGAAAGCCTGTTTTACCTTCCCAAAAAGCCTAAACCAGACGAGGGCTAGTTTATGTCGAATTAAATTGAAATTTGAAATTGAAAATTGAAAACTAACCTAACCTATAAACACTAAAACGATCTTTGGCGTCCAATTTTTGGTGTGAATCTTTGTGCTTTTTAAAAAATGGTTGCTTTCAAATTACACCAGACATGCATCTTTAGGGTTGATACACCCTTCCAAGGGGTGAACGCATTTAGAAAGACTTTTCCTATAATTTTCGTTTAGTTAAGATTTTGAATTAAACATCCTAAGCCAGCCAACATTAAGTGAAAATCACAGTCAGCAATCATAATAACTCAATCAAAAAGCTTTTCTAATTGCACAAAACACCCCCAACAATATTGGATTGCACCAAATATTGACTAAAAGCATTCCATGGCCATGACATTGACCATACATACATAGATATGTACAAATGCGAGTAATATTTTGCCAATAATGAATGCTAGGGGTAATAAAGTTATTATATAACTATACTAATGGCATTGGAAATATAACAGTTAACTCAAAAAGGAGCAACTGTACTTCTATTTTACAAACAAACGTTTGAACGACAACAAAACTATAAGTTATGACCGATAGGCTAAGCGTGTAATTAACTCATTTAAATGAATGTTTTTGTTTTATTGTATGTTTATTTAATAATATAATTACTTTATACAAATGGCATTTTGTTGTGTTGACAGTTTTATGATTTGTTTATTGGATTAATAA